AGGAATGGAGGGTTATTGTTTGATGGGCACAGAGTTTCAGTTTGAGATGATGAAAAAGTTCTGGAGTTGGATGGTGGTGATGGTTGCATAACAAGGTGAATGTACTTCATGCCACTGAACTGTACACTTAAAACTAGTTAAATTGGTAAAATTTGTTATGTGTATTTTACCACAATTTTAAAAAAAAAGCTCTAGGTTTATTTCATCTTGTGGGAAAGGGAAAGAGAAGAATGGGGTGCATGCTCTTTTCTTTTTCAGGTCATGACCTCAGTACACAAAGTCCCCTTTAGTTTCTGCCTCAAGTAAATCTGGCTCTCCACTGAGGGTCCTTGACGCCCTCTCCAAAGAATGCTAATCTTTCTCCCACTCTCAGGGTGCCCTCCATGGTCCCTAACTCTATTTCCAGATCAATGATCCATCATCTTGAGTGAACTCTGAGGCTCACAGCATCTAGCTGTACCACGTTCTATGCCTTCTCCTTGCTGATGCCTATTAATCAATCAATCAATCAATTAATCAGTCAATCCTCATTCTTATAGGACTTCAGCACCTGGCTCATCCTTTCTCCCCATCCCAGTTCCCACCACTGTGCTTAAGACTTTAATGACTGTGAGGATAATCCAAGACCTGGCCAACCTCCTGGTCCCTTGGCGTGTCTCTTCTCATTTCAAGATCTTCACTTGAGCCACTGCTTCCCTTGACCATGTCTTAGGTCTGAGCTGGCCATGGTCATTTCCTCTGTCTTGTCAGTGGAGGAACAGGCGCATGACTGACTTCGAGCACTACAGGGTAGGGTCAAGTGGGCAGAGAGGGGCTCTGGGAAAGATTTTCCTATGAAAGAGACAAAAGAATTGATGATCTTTATTTTTGAGGAGAAGCCCAACAACAAAGGTGGTAGTGCAAAGAGAAAGAACCTGTGTCCTTGATGGTGTTGTCAAGTTACCGAATCAACTCTCTCTGAAGTCTGTTCCCTCTCTAGATACCCTATTATATGAGATAATAATTTATTTCATATTAAGCCAGTTTGAGTCAGGCGTTCTTTTACTTTCACATAAAAGCACCCTAAATAACATAATTCTCAACTCCCAGCCAAAGCTCAGCCCTAGATGAATGTACAGATCCTTCTATTCTGTTTTCATACCTGTCCTGCTAAGACTGATGGAGAAAGCAATGGGTCCCTTGTCTCCTCGAAACCCCACACACCTCTCCCCCACCCACCATTAGAAGGCAAACCCCAGTTTTCCCCATCCTTCCCTAGCCTTGTGTTTATGATTGTGGAACATCTTGGTTATTGCCTGAAGTGGCCAGCTCTTGACTAGGAAATAGATTTTAACAGGTCCCAAGAAGAGCATTTGTATTTGGCTTGAATGGAATGATGGGGTGGAGGAAAGATCTTGTGATTAAAAGAAATCCAGCACCCATGAAAAGGATAAAGCAATTACACTCAGGATAAATTGAGTGGACCAAGCTGCTCCTAGTGCTTCGGTTGAGTTAGGGGGAAAAAAGGAGCTTCCTGCCCTGCATTGTGGGGCTGGCAAGGGATAGAAGCCCCAGGGGAAGTGTGATTTAGGTGGAAAGAGGGGCAGAGATGTAGCTCTGCTCACACTGTTTCTGGAACAAATGTAGAAGACCAGAATAAAGTAGTAGATACCAATGATTACAAATTCTACAACTATTTGAACCACTTGGCAAGAGCTGGTTGGTCTCTGGGTGTGGAGGCGGAGGGCGGGAGGTGGACCCTGGAGGTGGGAAGGCCCCAGGCCCTTAACATAATCTCAGTCATGCAGACTGTTGCAATAACACACTCATGGTCTTTAATTCTCAACACCACCCTGGAATTCCTGTTTTCCTTGCTGGCTCTCTTCTCTCATTTACCATAGCAACTGTTCTGAATCTTCTTCACTCTCATCGAACCTCCTACCCCTCTGCCTTCCCTTGCTACTCATCAGGCAACTCTGCCTCGTATTTCACATGAAAAATAGATGCCATCTGACTGGGAACCCCCTCATCTTCCTCACTTACTTGCAGCTGTACTCCCTTTTTCCTCTAGCTCACAGATTTAGTCAGCAGTGCTGTCCAACAGAACTCTCCACGGGTGGAAATGTTCTAGGTCTTCACTATGGTAGCCATCAGTCACATGCGGTTGTTGACACTTGAATTAAGTGTGACTGAGAAACTGAATTTTTAATTTCATTTGTTTTTAATTAATTTAAATTTAAATAGCCACATATGGCTAGTGGCCACCCTACTAGGCAGCACTGATTTAGTGTAACTCAGAGAAAAATATTTTTGAATACCAGGGCACTGGGATTTCTCCTAATGCTGTGACATCCCTAAGCAGCAGACTTTTGACCAACTTATTATAAGAATTGTGAATTAGGTGATGAGAAAGAAGGAAGAGAGGATTAGAGAGACATGTTCACAAGAAATTGCCATGGAGAAATACAGGGGAAATAAACATCATTTTGATAAGCTTTTTTAGGAGCTCCAGTTACCAAGAAAGGAACCACAGTGAATCCTGGCAGGAACATTGCATTCCTGAAGAGGCTCTTACCATCACCGCATCATACTATCATCATTGCAAATCCGCGCTAGTCTTGACTCCAACGCGGAGTTTGAGTGGGAGGAAGAACCAAGCACCAGCCAGGTGCCAGTGTGATGTAGTTATCAGCTGAATTATTTCTAAGGGCATCCAGTTATCTTTGCATTTTCTGCTGTAAAGCAAAATGTGTGCAGCACAAACAGTATGTGACTCAAATGTCCCTTTTCTGTAGCTGATATTGTTCACTTTTGATGATTCTATCACATTTCAAACAGCCATACATCTTTTTA